TGCAAGGACTGTTCGGCGCAGACTGCAGGAATATGGTCTAAATGCTGGAATTCCAAGGAAAAAGCCATTGTTATCTCTCAGACAAAGGTTGAAAAGATTAAACTGGGCTAAAACCCATGTTAACTGGACAGCGGAACACTGGGACAGTGTTATTTGGAGTGATGAGAGCAAAATCTCCTTGCTTGGTAGTGATGGCATGAAATATGCTAGGAGAAGAATTGGAGATTTACATCCTACTTGCATTACATCTACCATGAAAGACCCAGTTAGTGTTATGATCTGGGGCTGTATGACAGCAAAAGGTGTGGGCAGAATTTGCATCATTAATGCGAATGTAAATGCCCAAAAATACATAGCCCAGACCTTTAACCCAACTGAAAATCTGTGGAACTGACTGAAGAAACCTGTTAAAAGCAATCCAGCATTAAAACCCAATTAATAGAGGCAATAATTCAATCTTGGTTTCACATTATTACAGATGCAGAACTAAAAAACTTTGTTCACTCCATGGGAAGGCATTGTAAGGCTGTAATTAAAGCTAAAGGTTACCAAACTAAATATTAACTGACATGGTGAGAATTTTTGTATATAACCTTTTTTCTATGTGCTTCACATTTCTTCTTTATGAGTGCTGTTGTAATAAATAATCCTTTATAAAAGTTATTGCACTACATTCTTCATTAAATTGTCTTTTTGTTGATATATAATTTTATGGTATTGCTCCAAAAGAAAGTGATGTTCTGAGCCATCAAACCTCGGAAAGAAACTTTCCCCAAAAGGTTTCCACAATTTTGGCCACTAGCGTAGGTGGCTGTGAAAGAGGATTAGACAAAGAAAGGACCTCTGGATGGTCCAGTCAAAGGCGACTATGGGGTTTCAGCGCTCATCTTGCTTTCAGGCTGAGGGAGCTGGAGTTTGTCCACAGACAGCTTTCCGGGTCGTGGCCAGCATGACTAAACTGTTTCTGGCACAACTGAACACCGTGACAGAAACCAGAGCTCTCAGAAATGCCGTTTACCTTCCTGCCACAGCGGTACCTATTTATCTACTTGCACTGGTGTGCTTTCAAACTGCTAGGCTGGCAGGAGCTGGGATAGAGCAACGGGAGCTTACCCCATCACGGACATTCGAACCAACAACCTGATCAGCAAGCCCAAGAGGCTCGTTGGTTTAGACCACAGTGCCACCTGTGTCCCATATTAGACACCCACTCGCTGGATCATCACCTTGTTGTGGTAAGTGGGCTTGCAAGTTCCTATGACCCTTGTGAGCGTAGCCGTCGGGAATCTCGCACTCCCAGCAGGTTCACCCAAGGCGGTGAGGTCAAAGGGAAGGAGCTAGACAAAGAGTGATCCAAGAAGTCCTCAACGGCAGAACAGGCGGATGATAATAAGCAGTATGTTACTACGCCTGTGTAGGCGGGTCAAGGCTGCAGCAGATAGGAATCTATCGGTTTGTTGTGGCTACTCCATGCCATCAGAACAGAGAACCTACTGCGAAGACTGTGCGTTGGTCAGCGTGCACTGATCTACACACATAAAACTAATTCACGCACAGGCGTCTTCCAAAAACCCAACCCAAACCCCAAAAGTCCCATGGCGATCGGCAAATGGTAACGGGGGCAGGATCGTGAAATCTGGAAGCCCCTAGTCATGAACCGGCACATGGGCAGTGGATACAGATTCAGTCGTTCGGACTCGAGGAACGAGGCAGTTGAGCAGCTCGGCAGCTGCATCCATGACTGAGCAGCCCTTTTTAGGATCCAGACTGCTCACCCCGAAAAGGGAGAGGGGCTAGAAAAGGTGCCCTAAACATAGTCTGCCTCCCTTTTCCCCTGACTGGATTACCGCGCCCAGTGGGGTCACCACCTAGCGGTCGTAAAAGACAACCCCAGTGGCTGCCTCTGTTTCCTCCTGTCTGCTTGCACGCAATCGTAGGATTCCCCCACACACACACCTTACAATTTACAATACAGCGAGGAAGAATACAAGCAGCCAGTTTTTCAGGTGGCCAACAGCACCAGAGTGTGGTGCTGAGCAGAACTGGCCTCAGGAGGGTGATTGTGTGTGGCAAGACGCAGGTAACAAACACAGGTAACAAACATAAAAGTTTATTTCCTTCTGGATTCAATACAAAATCTGACGCAAGAGTTCCTCTTAGGGGTACTATTTGGCAGTCACTCTGCTAAGACCTACTGACTTTGGTGAGGCACTCACGTGCCAGGGGCGCTTTGGAGTTCTTCGCCTGCGCGCAAGGATTCCTTTTCTCCGCTCCTGAATCCGGGAGAGAATCTGCACCTTTTTTCTTGAGTTCCAGCTCAGTCAACTTCTCCTCCCTGGCAGCATGCAAGAATTTCTGAAGCAGTCTGAAGAAAGAGGCCACTGTGGTATTGGTATTTTTCTGGGGCTTGGGGGCAGCTGGAGTTTCTGGCTTGGGCTGAGGTTCTGGGGCTTTCGTGGCAGGTTCTGGTGGGGCTTCCGTTGTGGGTTTTGATGGGACTTCTGTGGGTGTTGATGGGCTTCGGTTGTGGTTTTGATGGGCTTTGGGTGTTGGGTTTTGTTGGGACTTCTGTGGGTGTTGATGGGGCTTCCATCGTGGGTTTTGATGGGACTTCTGTGGGTGTTGATGGAGCTTCGGTTGTGGGTTTTGATGGGACTTCTGTGGGTGTTGATGGGGCTTCAGTTGTGGGTTTTGTGGGACTTCTGTGGGTGTTGATGGGGCTTCGGTCGTGGGTTTTGTTGGGACTTCTGTGGGTGTTGATGGGGTTTCCATCGTGGGTTTCGATGGGACTTCTGTGGGTGTTGATGGGGCTTCGGTTGTGGGTTTTGTTGGGACTTCTGTGGGTGTTGATGGAGCTTCGGTTGTGGGTTTCGATGGGACTTCTGTGGGTGTTGATGGGCCTTCCATAATGGGTTTTGATGGGACTTCTGTGGGTGTTGATGGGGCTTCCCATCATGGGTTTTTGATGGGGCTTCTGTGGTTGTTGATGGAGCTTCGGTTGTGGGTTTTGATGGGGCTACTGTGGTTGCTGATGGAGCTTCGGTTGTGGGTTTTGATGGGACTTCTGTGGGTGTTGATGGGGCTTCTGTTGTGGGTGTTGATGGAGCTTCAGTTGTGGGCTTTGATGGGGCTTCTGTGGGTGTTGTTGGAGCTTCGTTTGTGGGTTTTGATGGGGCTTCTGTGGGTGTTGATGGAGCTTCGGTTGTAGGTTTTGATGGGGCTTCAGTGGGTGTTGATGGAGCTTCGGTTGTGGGTTTTGATGGGGCTTCTGTGGGTGTTGATGGAGCTTCAGTTGTGGGTGTTGATGGAGCTTCGGTTGTGGGTTTTGATGGGGCATCTGTGGGTGTTGATGGAGCTTCGGTTGTAGGTTTTGATGGGACTTCTGTTGTGGGTTTCGATGTCGCTTCTGTTGTGGGTGTTGATGGGGCTTCTGTCACAGGTTCCGATGGCGCTTCCGTTGTGGGTTCCAGTGGGGTTTCATGCTCAGGTGGCCCTCCAGCCTCATACTCATGCTCGTACTCATATGCATAAGGCTCTCCTGTCCCATGTTCATGTTCATGCTCATGTTCATGCTCATGTTCATGCTCATGCTCATGTTCATGCTCATGTTCATGCTCATGTTCATGCTCATGTTCATGTTCATGCTCATACACATTTGGTCCTCCAGGCTTGTGCTCATGTTCATGCTCATGCTCAGGTGATACATCTAGCTCCATCTCAGGTTGTGTTTCATTATTGGGTTCAAGTGAGGTGTTGGACACAGTTTGAGGTAGGGACGGGGGCTTCACTTCCGGCGTAGTGCTGTTCTCAGGTTGAGGTGGAGTTGGGGGGTTGGGAGGTGGCTGAGATGCAGGTATGCCATCTGGATCTGTTTGAGGAGGGGATGTGGGCTTTGGCTGAGGTATGATTTCTGGGTCTGTTGGAGGTGTGATCTTTGGTTGAGTTGTGGTTTCTGGCTTCCTTTGAGGTGAGGCTGTGATATTTGGTTCAGGTGTGGTTGGTATCTTAGCCTGAGGTGGGACTTTGGGCCATTGGCAGAGGAGGGGTCTCTGGCGTCAGTTGAGGTATGTGTTCTGGCTTTGCCCTCGGTGGAAGTGGGGGTCTTAGTTTGGGTGGGGTTGCAGGCTCTCAAATGAATTGTGATCGGTAGGGCCTTGGTTTGGAGGTGTTCGATTGTAGGTTTTGGGTTGAGATTGCGGGTTTCCAGCGCTTGGTTTGAAGTTGGGGTTGCAGGCCTTCACACAATTTGTTGATTGGGGGCCTTGGTTGGAGGTGTTGACGTGGGTTTGGGATTGAGATTGGGTTTCAGGCTTGGTTTGAGTTGCAGGCCTGAAATGAATTGTGGATTGTGGGTCTTTGGTTGGAGTTCTGGGTTTGGGTTTGGGTTGAGATGTGGTTATCAGGCTTGGTTTCGGGCCTTGGTTTCGGCGTTGAGTTTGTGGTTTCAGGCCTTGGTTTTCGGGGCCGTGGGGTTTGGGGTGAGATGGGGTTTCAGGCTTGGTTTTCTGGTGTGGGGTTTGGGGTGAGGAGTGGGGTTTCAGGCTTGGTTTTCAGACGTGGGTTGGGATGTGGTTTCAGGCTTGGTTTCAGACGTGGGTTGGGATGTGGTTTCAGGCCTTGGTTTCGGGCTTGTTTCGGGTTGAGTTGTGGTTTCAGGCTTGGTTTCGGGCGTGGTTTGGGTTGAGATGTGGTTTCAGGCTTGGTTTCGGGCTTTGGTTTCGGGTTGAGTTGTGGTTTCAGGCTTGGTTTCGGGCGTGGGTTGGGATGTGGTTTCAGGCTTGGGTTGGGATGTGGTTTCAGACGTGGGTTGGGATGTGGTTTCAGACGTGGGTTGGGATGTGGTTTCAGGCTTGGTTTCAGGCTTGGGTTGGGATGTGGTTTCAGGCTTGGTTTCAGACGTGGGTTTGGGGTGAGATGGGGTTTCAGGCTTGGTTTCGGGCGTGGGTTTGGGGTGAGATGGGGTTTCAGGTTTGGTTTCAGACGTGGGTTGGGATGTGGTTTCAGACGTGGGTTTGGGATGGGGTTTCAGGCTTGGTTTCAGACGTGGGTTGGGATGTGCTTGTGGATGTGGTCTCCTCTTGTGGCTTCGGCTGCGATGAGGCTGTGGGCTTCCTGCTGGTCTCAGACCAATGGAAAGGGTTTGTCGGAGGATGGAAATAGATAGTGACATGAGGTGTCTTCAGCTTCCGGGGTGCCGAAGGGGCAGGCTCTGGGGTGGGTGGGGGCTGGGGCATGGGTCCTGCCCACCCTTTCACCCAGGCATACAAGGGCTGTGTGGCGGCGTAGACTCCCGGGCGGTGTGCTTTGCCACAGCCTTGGCCCCAGCTGGTGACTCCAATCACCCAAAACGGCTCAGATGCCTCTTCCTTGCACATGAGGGGGCTCCCACTGTCTCCCTGCAGCGACAAGACATGCAAAAGAAGTTGGGGGTGAGCAACCGATTGCATTTGTCTCAAAAGGAGGGAAGAAAGGGGTGTCCACTGGGGCGTTGCGGGGTTTCTAGAAGCGCTGGGCAGCTGAAGGGCTGCACGGGGCGAAGAGATGCTGACTGTCTCCCATGGCTGAGTCAAGGGTGTTGGCGGTGGGTGGCAAGCGAGAGCCACATTGGCCCATGCTCAGCTCTCTGGAGGCCGTATCTCAGCCTGCCTGTGGCCAAAGTAAGTGTGGTTTTTTTAAAGGGCAAACTGAAGTGTATTGGGGGCTCCCCAAACCCTTTAAGTATCGCAACAGAGGAGTGGTCACTAAATAGAAACATAGGGCACAGGTATATTTTCCATGGCTGACTGAAGATTCAAACCCTGGTCTCCTGTGTCCTAGTCTGACACTCTGACCATTACACCACCACTGGCTCTGATCTTACCACTTGTGCTTTGCCACTTTCACAGTGGCTAGGTGTGGGCTGCCCTGCCTGGTTGGCTGGGGGGCAGGCACTGGGGGTGTGTGGGGCCCGTGCCAAGGGTGAATGAAGCCTGCTTTCAACAGACTCCTCGCCCTCTGCCTCCATCCACCTGCCCCCTGGACCAACCTGCCTGCTGCCACACTGTACTGGAGCCCCAGAGAACACGGCTGCCCTTCTCCTGCTTGCCTCTCCCTCCCCATCCAGGTGGTGCCTCTCACCTCTCCTGGGGGGGGGCGGCAGCCCCTTCTCCCTCCCTCCGTCCCTCCCTCTCGGTTGGCCCATGGGCAGGGCATGCGCCAGGCCAAGGGGAGAAGGAGACACCATCCCAGCGCCCGAGGACCCAGCCTGGGTGCAGCTTGGCTTGCCTCCCCACAGCTGTGGCCACCCTGTCGTGGGGGTGCCCCCTCAGAAATGTGCACACGGGGCCACACCCCCCAACACTACGCCTCTGGGCTGATGACCCCAAATGATGATGTGAGCCGAAGGAGCTGGGCCCCTGTATCCTCAGAACAAGGCTGTTTCCTGCATCCTCGAATCTGACACCCAGTTCCACATATCTGAAGCTGCCAAGGATCTTGGCACCTTACCTGGCAGCTGTCGGTGCCTCCTTGTTCGTACCCTGCGCAGAGGCTGTTCTCTCTTACGGTCCCGTTGTACCAGCTGCTGCTGTTGCACGTCTGGGTGGAAAAGCGATTGACCTTTGCCTCCTGCATCATGTCTGATGCCTCCACCCCTGTTGGCAGGGGAAGAGCAACTCTTTAGTCTGTGGTGCGTGTGTCTCCCCCCCCCCCGACCTGTTCCTAGACAGCTTGATGCTGGAACTTCAGCTACAACCGAAGTCCCACGGAGGAAAGGAAGTGCCCCCACCACACCCCAAGATCCTTAAGGAGCAACATCGCCGGGACTGCCACTTTGGGGGTGTTGAACAGAGGCAATCAGATATAATCATCATCATCATAATTGTGAATTTTTATTTATACCCCGCCCTCCCCAGCCAGGGCCGGGCTCAGGGCAGCTAACACAGAATATAAATTACAATAAAACGTGGAAAGTTGCCCAGAAGAGCTTACGGCTCCCAACCTCAAACAGTTCCTTATCCCTGCTGTAAAAGGGGGCCAGCCAAGGTCCCCGGAGGACCCTCACAGCTGTCTTTCCCCACCTCCTTTGTCTACTCGGGTGCCAGGGTGCGCCAGGGAGGCCGCCTCGGCCAGGCTCTCACCTTTCGCTTTGCTGAGTCCCCAGCCACTGATGTAGCAGAAAGACAGAGCGGCCACGCTGACGGTGCTGTCGGGCATGCAGGCCGGCTGGATGTAGTCGCTGCAGATGATGGGCTGGTCCAGCTCCATCAGCGCCACGTCGTTGACCTGCGTGGTCGCCTGGTAGGCTTCGTGCACCACCACTTGCTTGATGTAGCGCACGTGGACCTCCGAGCCGAGGACAGAGAGCTTTGAAGCGCCGATCACTGCGCGCCAGTGCGGAAGGCTCCTGGAGAGCAGAAGAGGCTGTGAAGCCGAGCACAGCTCAGGACTCCAGTACCCCAAGAACTGCCTCTCCCCATATGAACTGACCTGGACCCGGGAGGTCCAGAGGGCGGCAACAGGAGAATAGGACCTTTTCAGTGGTGGCTCCCCTTTTGTGCAATGCACTCCCCAGGGAGGCTCGCCTGGCACCATCATTACATATATTCAGGCACCAGGCAGAAAGGCATTCCTTTGTAATCAGACTTTTAGGCATGGAGAACTTATTTGTTTTATATTCAGTGGACACAGTTTGGATATTTTGTAATACTAAATTGTATGCAGGTATACTGATTAATCAGAGACGTGGGTGGCGCTGTGGGTAAAACCTGGAGAAGAGGAGGTTAAGGGGTGATATGATAGCCATGTTCAAATATAGAAAAGGATGTCACATAGAGGAGGGAGAAAGGTTGTTTTCTGCTGCTCCAGAGAAGCGGACACAGAGCAATGGATCCAAACTACAAGAAAGAAGATTCCACCTAAACATTAGGAAGAACTTCCTGACAGTAAGAGCTGTTCGACAGTGGAATTTGCTGCCAAGGAGTGTGGTGGAGTCTCCTTCTTTGGAAGGTCTTTAAGCAGAGGCTTGACAGCCATATGTCAGGAGTGCTCTGATGGTGTTTCCTACTTGGCAGGGGGTTGGACTCGATGGCCCTTGTGGTCTCTTCCAACTCTATGATTCTATGATTCTAGGACTTGCCGATCGTCAGGTTGGCAGTTCGAATCCCTGCGGCGGGGTGCGCTCCCGTTGCTTGGTTCCAGCGCCTGCCAACCTAGCAGTTCGAAAGCACCCCTGGGTGCAAGTAGATAAATAGGGACCGCTTACTAGCGGGAAGGTAAACGGCGTTTCCGTGTGCTGCGCTGGCTCTCCAGATGCAGCTTGTCACGCTGGCCACGTGATCCGGAAGTGTCTTCGGACAGCGCTGGCCCCCTGGCCTCTTAAGTGAGATGGGCGCACAACCCTAGAGTCGGACATGACTGGCCTGTATGGGCAGGGGTACCTTTACCTTTACCTTTATACTGATTAATCATAGAATCGTAGAATTGTAGTGTAAGGTCATCCTAGTCCAACCTTCGTTTCAGAAGTCACAATTACATATACGATTATATATACAGTGGTACCTCAGTTCCCGAAAGCATCCATTATCGAATGTTTCGGAAGCCGAACACCGAAAACCCAGAAGTAAATGCTTCTGTTTTTGAACATTTTACGGAACCCGAATGTGTGATGTGGCGTCCGCTGAGTGCAAGGAGCTCTTGCAACCAATGGGAAGCCGCACCTCTGTTTTCAAACGTTTCAGAAGCCAAACAGTCTTCCAGAATGGATTACGTTCAAGAACCAAGGTATCACTGTATTTCTATTGTATCACCTGCGGCTTTGTGTTTTTTGTTCCTTATGCTTGGGGACCCGCCCCTCTCTTTGCCCCATTGCCCCCTACATGGCCCAGCTCCCAGTGGTCAGGGCATATGGCCAGTCAGGGGGGCATCTTCCTTCGCCTCATCCACCCCCAACCACTTTGGCTCCTGCTTACTTTTTGCTTCCAAAGCAGTGGGCGGCTGTGAGGACCCACCGGGCAGTGATGAGGGCGCCTCCGCAGGTGTGCTTGTGCCCCGTCAATGTTGGCAGCTGCAAGCTGACGATCCAGGGCCAGGCCCCCGGCAGGGCGTCGGCCCCACCCGTAGTCCGCCCTGTGCCGCCACCATGGCCTGGCACCAAGGGGCGCCTTCCGCAGACTCTGGAAAGAGAGGAGGTCGTCAGTGCTTCCTCGCTCCCAGTGGTCCATTCTGCACGTCGAGAGGCAGTGTGGTGCAATGGTTAGAGCGTCAGACTAGGGCAAGAGCAGGGTTCAAATAATAATAATAATTTTTATTATCCCCCACCCATCTGGCTGAGTTTCCCCAGCCACTCTGGGCAGCTCCCAATCGAGTGTTAAAAACAATACAGCATTAAATATTAAAAACGTCCCTAAACAGGGCTGCCTTCAGATGTCTTTTAAAGATAGGATAGCTGCTTATTTCCTTGACATCTGATGGGAGGGCGTTCCACAGGACGGGTGCCACTACCGAGAAGGCCCTCTGCCTGGTTCCCTGTAACCTCACTTCTTGCAATGAGGGAACCCTCGGAGCTGGACCTCAGTGTCTGTGCTGGATGGTGGGAGTGGAGATGCTCCTTCGGGTATACTGGGCCGAGGGCATTTAGGGCTTTCAAGGTCAGCACCAACACTTTCAAGGTCAGCACCAACACGTCCTGGGAGCCAATGCAGATCTCTCAGGACCAGTGTTATGTGGTCTCGGCGGCCGCTCCCAGTCACCAGTCTAGCTGCCGCTTTCTGGATTAATTGCAGTTTCCGGGTCACCTTCAAAGGTAGCCCCACATAGAGCACATTGCAGTAGTCCAAGTGAGAGATAACCATAGCATGCACCACTCTAGAGAGACAGTTTGTGGGCAGGGAGGGTCTTAGCCCTCTCAGCCATGAAGCTCACTGGTGGTGACAACCTTGGGGGTCAGACACTCACTCAGCCTAACCTACAAGGCTGTTTTGGGGATTAAATGAGGACTGGGATGGGGAACCATGTGAGCACCCTAGAGCTCATTGGATCAAAGATGTGTAAATGCAATAAACATCTTGCCTGGTGCCAGCTAATGTTTTCAGTGCAGAAAATGGCATAAATTGCCTACCTAAATTGCTCCCTATCATCCTTAGACACTGTTCTTCCTTTATCCATGAACCTTTGGGTCCATGTAGGTCTTTAACTTTGTTGCTGCTCGCCCATCTACATCCATCCTCAAGGTGGGGGTGTACTCTGCGTGGGGCTGCCCTTGAGACTGACACAGAAACTCCAGCGGGTGCAGAATGCCGCAGCGAGACTCCTTACGGGGTCCTCCCCGTGGGATCACATTCACCCAGTGCTATACCAGCTGCACTGGCTCCTGGTGGAGCACAGGATCAGGTTTAAGGTGCTGGTTTTAACCTTTAAAGCCCTATACGGCCTAGGACCCTCGTACCTACGGGACCGCCTCTCCTGGTATGTCCCATGGAGGACCTTATGGTCTTCAAACAAAAACATCTTGGAGGTCCCGGGCCACAGAGAGGTTAGGCTGGCCTCAACCAGAGCCAGGGCTTTTTCGGCCGTGGCCCCGATCTGGTGGAACGCTCTGTCCCAAGAGTCCCTGCGGGACTTGACATCTTTCTGCCTGCAAGACAGAGCTGTTCCACCAGGCCTTTGGCCAAGTCACAGCCTGACCCCCTCCTTTGGTGATCCTCATAGAGCTCTAGCCCAACGGTTGCCATTGATTTGATTTGAACTGATTTTAGAATGAATTGATTTTAGAATACTGTATTACTTTACTGTTGTTAGCTGCTCTGAGCCCGGCTTCGGCTGGGGAGGGTGGGATATAAATAAATTATATATTATTATTATTATTATTATTATTATTATTATTAAGATCTACACGAGTGTCTTTCCCCTTCGCAGGACATCCTTCTGTTGCCCTGAACACACATATTCACACAACAATAATTCTGCAGCCATGGCCACGTCTACTGAGTTGAGATCAACTCTGTAACATTTGTCCCATGGGATACTCAGTGTGGAGATCTGAAGAAAAGGGTCCTCCTTTCCATAATGAAACAAAGAGAGCCTGCTGGATCAGGCCATCTAGTCCATCATCCTGTCCTCACAGTGGACAGGATACCCCAAAGGGACACCGGAAAGCAGGACTCAGGCACATGGAGCCCTTTCCACGCCTGCAGTTCCCAGCAACTAGTATTCAGAAGCATTGCTTCCTCCAGCGTTGGAGGCAGAGCAGAGCCTTCCTAATAGCCATGAATAGTCAGTCCTCTCTTCCATGAAGTTGAAAGCCACCCAAGTTGGTGGCCATCTCTGCCTCCTGTGGGAGAGAGTTCCATTGTTTAACTAGGCACTAAATGAAGAAGCTTAGTGTTGATTGCCGAAGAATTGATGCTTTTGAATTCTGGCACTGCAGGAGACTCTTGAGAGTCCCATGGACTGCAAGAAGATCAAACCGATCCATTCTGAAGGAAATCAGCCCTGAGTGCTCACTGGAAGGACAGATCGTGAAGCTGAGGCTCCAAGACTTTGGCCACCTCATGAGAAGAGAAGACTCCCTGGAAAAGACCCTGGTGTTGGGAAAGATGGAGGGCACAAGGAGAAGGGGACGACAGAGGACGAGATGGTGGGACAGTGTTCTCAAAGAGACCAGCATGAGTTTGGCCAAACTGTGGGAGGTAGTGGAAGACAGGAGGGCCTGGCGTGCTCTGGTCCAGGGGGTCACAAAGAGGCGGACACGACTAAACGACTAAACAACAACAACAAGTGAAGAAGCATTAAGCTTCCTGCTGGACTCTTGTCTGTTCCCGTCACTTACTCGCAAGTATCAACTATGGCACGGCTGGGCCAGACAGTGGCAAGGATCTGGAGTAGCAGGAGCAGCCATCTCATCCTCCTCTTGGCTCCAGATGCTACTCCTATCACCGCATTCTCCCACCGCTCTTGACCTCACAAATGCACTTCGCCGAGCCGCATCCAATCAGCAGGGAGACAGTATGACATCACACGGAACGGATGTTCTTTTTTGATCCGGAATGCATTGGCAACATTAATAGAAGCGTCTGGGCCAGGTCCCCCAAGCCCAAGGGTGGAATCGTCCTCAAAGCATCACCCGTGGTCTGGGCTCCCAGCCTTGGGAGATGTGTCTCCAAGCAACCCTGGCTGCAGGCACAGCAGGAAGGGTGTTCTGCGCCTGACCTCCTTTGCATAAGAACACCAGGAGAACCTCCTGGATCAGGCCGAAGGAGCCCCGTCTCGTCCAGCACTCTGTTCTTGCAGTGGCCAACCAGATGCCATGATGGGAAAGTGGCAAGCAGGATTGGAACACAAGAACACTCTCTGTTCCTGCAGTTTCCAGCAGGGGGTATTCATTGGTGCCTCCGGTTGTGGAGATTGGCGGTTCAAATCCCTGCGACGGAGTGAGCTCCCGTTGCTCTGTCCCAGCTCCTGCCTACCTAGCAGTTTGAAAGCACGCCAGTGCAAGTAGATAAATAGGTACTGCTGCAGCGGGAAGGTAAACAGCATTTTCGTATGCTCTGGTTTCCGTCACGGTGTTCCGTTGTGCCAGAAGCGGTTTAGTCCTGCTAGCCACATGAGTTGGAAAGCTGTCTGTGGACAAACGCTGGCTCCCTCGGCCTGAAAGCGAGATGAGTGCCACAACCCCATAGTCGCCTTTGACTGGACGTAACCGTCCAGGGGTCCTTTACCTTTCCACCCCCTCGATTGTTTTGATGGCCTTTTTCCGAACCTTTAGCAACCCTACAATATCCTCTTCGGAGTGAGGTGACCAGAACTCTACACAGCATGCTGTTCTGGTATTCCAAGTCTGTACGAAAATCCCCATATAACCCATTGCATTTTCCCTTGCTAGGGTACCCTAAGAGATAAGGTCAGACATGTTGCCTGGCACTCAGGAGAACCAAAGGCATCGGTTTGACACACCCAGCAGAATGAAGTGGTTAGAATTCCGAGGTAGGAGGGGGGGAATCTTCCTTTTCAGAGCTTCGGAGGTAAAGAGTGCCAATTTCAAATGCTCACCCATGTATAAATAACCTTCTGCATGTAAATAATAATAATAAATTCACATCAGAAGAGTGGTCTTCTAGCTAAGCTCATTCCCTGCCTGTTTTGCACTGAATTTTTCATACGGAGGAGCATTTTAAAATAAGGGTTCTCCCCCCCAGCTGTGATGCAAAGTGGCATAATCCATTCTCCACCAGATTCTGATTCCTGCACAGTGAGCCAGGCTAGGGTATAGAATATAGAGCAGCCTTCCCTGATCCAGATGTTTTGGACTACAACTCCCATCAGCCTCAGGCAGCGCCAATGGGAAGTGGCCTTTGTTGGGAGAAATAAGTTACCTGGTTGCAATAAGTTACCTGGACCATTGGGTGGGAGGATAGACAGAAAGGCAACCTGTTCTTCCCTCGCCGGTTCCTTCTCTTTCAGCAGCTGTTTGTTGGCACAGCAGCTGACCTCCTTTCTGACTTTGTGCCCTCCCTCCCTCTTCCTTCTCCAGGTCAGCATGAGTTAGTCAGTGTGCGTTAGTGCCTCCATCTTGGCCGTGGGAGAAACCTGTGCTCAGAATGCCTTTGTTTGGCACGACAAATAAACCTCCAGTTTCCTTTGTCCTTTCAACCTTACTGGGCTTCTTCTTTCTGCGCAACGCTGCGATATATTTACAGCAGGCCCACATCCCACATGTGGGATTATTATTCCAGGAGTTCGTAAAATCGTGCAAAAGCAGGAAGACCCCTGGAACCACACATGTAAACTATCCCTGCCTTCCGGGGCTCTGGGAAGGCTGCAAGAGATCTTGTTGGGACTTTGCAAGATCTCACGAGATCCCAGACAGCCCCTTCTCTCTCCCCCCCCCAGCTCCCCATTTATTTATTTATTTGTCTCCTGCCTGTGCAAAGTTGATCACACATAAGTTGCAGGTCTACTGCACCAAATTCCAAAAACCATTGGCCTTAGAAATAAAGGAAGGGGAAAGGGGTGTCCTGAGGCCAAGGAAACCGATGATAATAATATATAATAATAATTTATTATTTATAACCTGCCCATCTGGCTGAGTCTCCCCAGGCACTCTGGGTGGCTCCCAATTGAGTTTAAAAACAATACAGCATAAAATATTAAAAACTTTCCTAAACAGGGCTGCCTTCAGATGTCTTCTAAAAGTCTGGTAGTTGTTTTTCTCTTTGACATCTGATGGGAGGGCGTTCCACAGGGCGGGTGCCACCACTGAGAAGGCCCTCTGCCTGCTTCCCTGTAACCTCACTTCTCGCAAGGAGGGAACTGCCAGAAGGCCCTTGGATCTGGACCTCAGTGTCTGGGCTGGACAATGGGGGTGGAGATGCTCCTTCAGGTATACTGGGCTGAGGCTGGTTAGGGCTTTAAAGGTCAGCACAAACACTTTGAATTGTGCTCGGAAAAGTACTGAGAGCCAGTGTAGGTCTTTCAAGACCGGTGTTATGTGGTCTCGGCGGCTGCTCCCAGTCCCAGCCTAGCTGCCGCATTCTGGATTAATGGCAGTTTCCAGGTCACCTTCAAAGGTAGCCTCACGTAAAGCGCATTGCAGGATTCCAAGTGGGAGATAACTAGAGCATGCACCACTCTGGTGAGACAGTCCATGGGCAGGTAGGGTCTCATCCTGCGTACCAGATGGAGCTGGTAGACAGCTGCCCTGGATGCAGAACTGACCTGCCCCTCCATGGACAGCTATGAGTCCAAAATGACTCCCAGGCTGTGCACCTGGTCCTTCAGGGGCAGAGTAGCCCCATTCAGGACCAGGGATTCCCCCACACCCACCACATGATGATGGTGATGATGGTGGTGGTGGTGATTATTGTGGAGTTTGGAACTTAACAAGTTAAATTGTTCCCATGATGCCACAACATTCTGACGTCAGCTTTAGAAGCTGGGAGGAGTTTGGGAGGAGTTTGCTGTTTCTCTCTGTGCTGTGAGGGGAAAAGACGTAGTCTGTAATGGCTGCGGTGAGTCCAGGAATTTTCTGAGAAATGTCGGAATAAACAACTGTAAATAGACAAACCTGGCTTTGTGTGTTTGTCTGGAAACTAAGTGAAGCTACGTGATAGTTCCCGCTGTGTTAACTCTGCTACGGCGTGACTGGAGCGGCAGAAGGAGCAGAGGTGCGCAGAGGAAGTGTGCCGGACATAAACAGCTAATTGGAGATCGTAAATCAATTAGCGGGGTCATGCCGGATCGATAAATCAATCAACTTCTACAATTATTGATGATGATGATGATTTATACCCCGCCCATCTGGTTGTGACAAGGTGTGAGAGGCATATTGGGAGAAGGTGCAGGCAGATCTATCCATTTTCATTTCTCTTTCTTCCTCATTTCCCCAGCCTTCCATTCTTCACATTTTTTACATCAGTTTGAGATTCTTTCATTTTTTTAAAGTCCTTGTGAAAATTCATCACTGTGAATTTCTCCAAAGTTTGTGTGAAATTTTGCCTAATGTACACATCTTCGCAAAGCATGTAATTCAACATTTGCATGTTACTTTCACCAAGGCACACATTTCTGTGTATGTTTGGCTCCAGGATGTGCATTTTGCATGCACGTACATTGACTGGAAATCTGCACTGCAAAATTCAGAGAAGTGCAAATTTCGAAGTGCAGCTAGGTATCTGTTTGTGCTTTGTTTCGGGGAGAAAATGCAAATAGGCCAGGTTCACCTTTCAACACAAACTGTACTAAATTTCTGCCCCCATCCTGAGTTGGGTCAGAAGGAGGAATTCCAGGGAAAAGAGAACAGCAAAGCCACTTTCGCCTAAGGAAGAGGTGGGGTTGCGGGCTTCACAGCCCCTCCACGTGCGCGGTGGGCTGAGCCTGCCCCACGTTATTGGGGGGATTCCTGGTTGCATCATCCCTGGCCGGCCAATCGACTGGCTCTGGGGGGTTGGCCTGCACTATTTAAGGCAGGATGCGGCCGGGGATCTCCCTCTTTGCCGCCTACCAGCTGCTCCGGTTTTCCCACCCTCCCGCCCTTGAAGGTTTGCTTCCTTTGACCTTGCTATGGACCTTGGTTGGTCGCCATTGAGGGGCCTGGTAGGAATTTTTCCACTTGGCAAATTGGCACCAGCCACTTGGTTTTCGCCTACCTCGTAGCAAATCGTCACAACTTTCTTGGTATTGGCGGTTAGGCATTGGTATTGTTCTGTAGATGGAAGAGGGGAGGAAGCGCCATCACCTGTCCCACATACTGAAGGGTAGTCCGATAAAGGATTCCAGGCGGCGTGACCCTGTTCGAAGCCTAGGGAGGTGAGGGCCTAAGACACTGCCCCTAACGGTGACCCCGGGGGAGTTCCTAGTTGATGTGCATCAGCAAGACTCCCCCTACTGGTGGTTAACCCTTCCCGGACTTCAAGCAGAAGGGCTGGAGTTGGATATAGTCGGTTAGGACCAATGCCTAAGCCAATACCATTCTTCACCTGTAACCAATAAAGTTGTGGCCTTTTTTAGCCCATTAACCTTAATAATTGTGTCATGTGTCATCATTTCCAACGGGGGGGGGGGGTCGGGAACTTGCCATGCAAGTGGGAAAGTGTTAAGACAGGAGCCGGTTGTCATGAATGGTGGGATGGAGGGGCAGAGATGACTTGCCCTTTGGTCGCCTGCATGTCAGAATGGAGAGGGGAAGGGGTGAGCTGGGGGCAAGGCCAGCATGGTGCAATGCAGGGGGCAGGAGCCAAGGGACAGCTCTGCCAGCGTGTTTGCACCAGGCTGAACTTGCTCCCTCCGTGCACCCCTCCTTTGTCCCGGTATTTAGCAGCAACACAGGCAACCAGGAGTGAGGTGGGCTCTGCCACTCCACAGTGCCATCTACTGCCTACTTTGAATCAGGTAAAATAACCCAGAGCCTGGCCCAAAGGCGAATGCTGCCCTGTGCTCCTTGCTGAGGAAGGGCAGGAAATACCGCACTTTTCCATGTATACATTGCCCCCGTGTATAAGACGTCCCCTATTTTGGGGGACTCAAATTTAAGAAAATGGGGAGAGTTGGCTCAGCGTTGTTGAGCTTTTTGGGGGGTGTTGTACAGGGTTGTTGAGCTTTTTTGGGGGGGAATTGCCAAAAATTGCTCACCCACACAAAATCAGCCTCTCGTCTGTCCCCTCGCTGGCAGAAGCTGCCAATCGACCGCCCAATTGCCACAGAGTCAGCCGATCAACAACAGCCATTGGTGCAGCAACCAATAACAAGCCGTGGCAGCAACCAATCAAACGTCCACCCTATGCACTGTCCATGTACAATACGACCCCCACTTTTTAACATAATTTCTAAAGAAAAAAAACTAATCTTATACACAGAAAATTACAGTAAATGCAATCAATCAATAAACGATGATGATGGTACCAAAAAAACGATTAGCAGAGCAGAAACAAGGAGCAGTAAATGGGTGAATATAAATATACTGTATATTTGTAAACAATAAGGAGATGGAACGAAGAGTCGGAGTTTATCCCATCAAAAAAACGGATTGGCTGGGGCAACCCAGCCAGATGGGTGAGGTATAAATAATAAAGCTATTATTGTTATTGTTAAAAATGGAGTTGTGTCAGGGGAAAGAGACCGTCTGTGTGTTCCTCCATCCAAAGTGACCTTCCAGTGGCCCGTTAAAAGTGAGTAGATATTATGATTATATTTATTTATGTCCCTCCTTTTTCCAAGACAGGAACTCAATGCAGCTTACAGATAAAATAGAGAAGGCTAAAATCATAGGGGGTAAACAATGCCTAGAAAGCGCCAATGAAGGGTTAGAGCCCGCCACCTTCTAAGGGAGTCCATTCCACTGCCAAACAGCTCTTGCCGCCAGAAAACTCTTCCCAGTGTTTAGTCGTAATCTCCTTTCTTGTCATTTGAATCCATTGGTTTGAGTCTGACCCTCTGGAACAGCAGAGGGCAGGACTTATTTTGCTGCCTTAGCCCCGCCCACTGCTGGCATATGGCCCCTGGGGAGGGGCTCAGAGGGAAGTGTGGCCCTTGAGCTGCAAAGGGTCCCTCACTCCTGGGTTTGATGGATGTAAGACGACCTGACATGGCATAAGTCCCTTTTCTACCTACCCCTGCCTTCCCAACTATGCACTGCCCGGAGAGGAATGACCAGGACGAGCTCAGTAGAAGGCTGGCACCACTTTTATTTCTAACGTGCTTGTACAAGAAGTTCCCACAGGCGAGAAGGGGCTGGACCCACCCACAGAAGGAAGAGGGTCTTCTCACCAAGAATGTGCCGTGAGTCGAGGAGCTTCCAGATACTTTGAGGATCTTGTCTGGTTCCTCGGGTGGGAATTCATTCTCAGGCTGGCTCTGACAGCCGGTCTTCATGAGCTCAGATAGAGTCACCATCATCCAGAAGCCGCCTGCCATCTTTTGCTTCCCAAGACGGTTGCAAAAGGGCGAACTGAGGATCAATTTGTGCCGGAGCCCAGCTGCAATCTCTCTGAGTGACGGCAGCATGGCAACGGATGGGATCAGAGTCAGGCCCATAGCTGTGCTTTGAACCTGTGGCCAAGACCTCTGGTCTGTGTTTGTGGTTGAAGGCCTATTTGCCCCAGTTACTGGGCCTGGTCCGGCGCGTGTACTGCCACTTGGTCTGTGGTCGCGCCATGGTGGTCCAGGGCTGGTACTGCCACTGGGTCGTTGGTTTCACCGTGGTGGCCGGCTTCCGCTTGGGCAGCCTATAAATAATGCTAGGCCGCACATTCCAGCCCAGGAACTTTGTGCTGGTGAGATACCAGGGAGTTGTCGGCTTATAGGGGGGGAAAGTGAACTTATAGGGAGGGAAAGTCCTCTTTGGGCCCGTGTACCAGCCCCATGTGCTACGAGGCCGGGAGGTCGTGGTTGCAACATAACCGGGGCGTTCAAACGAGTAAGTTGGCCGGGCCTTGCCCCCGTACCCGTAATACTTGCCGTTCACCAACATATGAGTGGGTCTCTTTAAATTGGGTGCCGTTGCCCAGGCTGGGGGTGAAAACAGGGTGGAGGCGGTGCTGGGGGGCTTGGTCGGGGGCGGTGTTGGCTTGAATGGCGGGACGAGAGCGGAGGCAGGAGGGTTCTTCAGTATTCTCTGGATCCAGTAGTAGAAGTGTTGGGTGGCCGTGAAGACGCCCGGGACCTTCCCGACTGTGCAGCCTCTGCCCCAGCTGTTGAGACCCACGACCCAGAAGCGCTCGGATCTCGCTGGCCTGCACATGAGGGGGCTGCCCCCATCGCCCTGGAGCGGGAAGAGGGAAGCGGCGTGAGGAGCGAGGAGCGAGGGCAGAGGCGGCCCGTCTCATTTTGCCACCAGGGGCAAAGAGGGGAAGTGCCACACGGTATGTCCATTCCCACCCCCCTTGATACCCCCACCAAAGCCTTGCTTGCTGGGGTCACCTGGTTGCAGGTTGCAGGTTCTTTTATTATTATTATTCACATAATATACAACAGACAACTCATAAAGAAAAATCATATATAGCAAAACTATGACTCATGTTTTCATTTACACTGATCTCTGGGACGCGGGTGGCGCTGTGGGTTAAACCACAGAGCCTAGGACTTGCTGATCAGAAGGTCAGCGGTTCGAATCCCCTCGACAGGGTGAGCTCCCGTTGCTCGGTCCCTGCTCCTGCCAACCTAGCAGTTCAAAAGCACCAAGTGCAAGTAGATAAATAGGTACCGCTCCAGCGGGAAGGTAAATGGCGTTTCCGTGCACTGCTCTGGTTTGCCAGAAGCAAACTGCTATATCCATACTGGAGCCCAAAACCAACTCCCTACTCTGAACGAATCTGTTACCTAGGCACCAAAAGACCGCTGCACATTTTACTTGAGCAAAGGCCCTTTAATGGGAGCGTGGGGGGGGGCACACCTTAGGCTCCTCCCCCTGTTGTGGCTCCTCCCAGTTTCCTACATGCCTGGGCTTAGCTTCTGCAACAGGGAGCCTGCTCTGAGCTTGCAAGTTCCTCCTTAGATGCCTGCACCATCAAGAGCACCAAACTTGCGACCTTCATTAGCTCCCGATCCTGCTTGCTCAGTGTGTAGTCTAAATACTCTCTGCTCCACAGCAAGCTTCTTCCTCACACTCCCGCTGGCCTCCACTGGACCTCCCCAGCAGGTCTTGGCTTGGAACAGGACACCTCAGTTTAGAAGACCAGGGTGGAGCTCGGAAGACCAGAACCACCATGATGGGGAATGAGGACGCTGGGCTTTACCTCGCACCTACCTTACATCGGTCCACCTTTGCTTCCTCAGATATGACGCAGATGTTCTCCTGTATGATCTGTCCGTCATACCACTTGCTGCTGTTGCAGATGTCGGAGGGCATTATGGTCACCCTGGCCTCCTGCATGATGTCAGCGTACGGGGCACGCCCTGTGGGCAGAAAGCAGGGAGAAGGCCCAGCTGGTACCTGCCTGATGGACCTTAATTTCTAACGCAAGAGGTCTTCTGGGCAAAGCTCAAGAACTGACAGCGCCTGACCTGGAGAGAGCCTCGGTCCCAAAATCTTGGGTGTAAGGAGGTGGGCTGAGGGTTTCTCTCCTCAATGAGAGAAAGTCACTCTGCTCCACCTACCCAAGAGATACTTTGTGATATCAACATAAGCGCTGACCCAACTGCACTGGCTGCCAGTTAGCTTCTGGGCCCAACTCAAAGTGCTGGTTTTCACCTATAAAGCCTTAAACGGTTCAGGACCACAATATCTCTCAGACTCTAATAGCCAGGGAGAAAGGGGCTGCTATCCAAAATCAGGCTGGGAAAGGATTATAGTTTAGTTGCTTGAGCATTTGACCAGAAATCCAGGCATCTGATCTCTTCTGCATGGGAAGGAATTCACTCAACAGTTGAGTTCTGGTCCTTCCCTTCAAAGATGCCATGACAGAACTCTTAGCTATTTGGGGAGAAGGCTGTGGCAGGTGATGGGAGGCAGCTGTGGAAGAGATGCTGCACAGCTGCTGCATATCAGGAGAGAGGATGCTGGGCTGGTTGGGCCAACAGACAAGGCAGCTTCGTGCATTTGTCCAGGGCAGCTGTCTATCAGCTTTATCTGGTATGCAGGCTGAGACCCTCCCTGCCCTCAGACTGTCTCGCAAGAGTGGTACATCTCTAGTTATCTCCCACTTGGACTACTGCAATGCGCTCTACGTGGGGCTACCTTTGAAGGTGACCTGGAAACTGCAATTAATCCAGAATGTGGCAGCCAGACTGGGGACTGGGAGTGGCCACTGAGACCACATAACACTGGTCATGAAAGACCTACATTGGCTCCCAGTACATTTCTGAGCACAATTCAGCATATTGGTGCTGACCTTTCAAGCCCTAAACGGCCTCGGCCCAGTATACTTGGAGGAGTGCTTCCACCCCCATCGCTCAGCCCGGACACTGAGGTCCAGCTCCGAGGGTCTTCTGGCAGTTTCCTCACTGTGAGAAGGGAAGTTACAGGAAACCAGGCAGAGGGCTTTCTCAATAGTGGCGCCTGCCCTTCTGGAATGCCCTCTCATCAGATGTCAAAGAAATTAACAACTACCTGATGTTTAGAAGACATCTGAAGGCAGCCCTGTTCAGGGAAGTTTTTAATGACTGATGTTTTAATGTATTTACCTTTTGTTGAAACCCAGCTAGATGAGCGGGGTATAAATATATTACTACTATTATTATTGCTATTATTATTATTATTATTGCTATTATTATTACTATTAGGGACGTGGGTGGCGCTGTGGCTTAAACCACAGAGCCTAGGACTTGCTGATCAGAAGGTCGGCAGTTCGAATCCCGTTGCTCGGTCCCTGCTCCTGCCAACCTAGCAATTCAAAAGCACGTCAAAGTGCAAGTAGATAAATAGGTACCGCTCCGGCGGGAAGGTAAACGGCGTTTCCGTGGGCTGCTCTGGTTCGTCAGAAGCAGCTTAGTCCTGCTGGCCACATGACCCGGAAGCTGTACGCCGGCTCCCTCGGCCAGTAAAGTGAGATGAGCGCTGCAACCCCAGAGTCGGCCACAACTGGACCTAATGGTCAGGGGTCCCTTTACCTTATTATTACTACTACTATTATTATTATTATTATTATTATTATTATTATTAAAACAGCAACAATCCATTGACTATGAGATTAGTACAAGGGTGGGGGATGCATGGACCTCCAGATGTTTTTGGGCTCCATCAGCCCCAACCAATGTCCAAGGCTGATGGAGATTGAAGTCCAGCAACATTTGGGGGACTCCAGGTTCTCCCACACCTGGACTTGTCCCTCCAATTTCTGCAAAAGTGCTGCCCTCTGTTATGCCATTCCCCCCTCCCCCAATTCCTGTGCTCAGCTTAAGGTCCTTAAGAGTCTCCAAAGCAACAATTCAATCCCTCTTCCTTTCCTCGCCTTTGCTTCTGAAACTCCCAGCAGGGACGCATCCTGATTGCAAGAGGCTGGCTGGCTCCCAGCCCTACCTCAAGACCTGAGGCTGTCAGGGTGATGGAGAATGGACCATGAGAGGCCCCTGCAAACCACGTCTCTTTGTGGGGAGGGGGAGGGGGTGGTCCTCACACTTTATCTGTGTGATGCCCCAACCACAGGTGTAGCAATGCGTCAGGGAATCCACCTCCAGGTTTTCGTCCGGCAAACAGGCAGGCTGGATGTAGTCGTTGCAGACCACCGGCTTGTCCATCTCAATCAGGGTGATGTCGTTGAGATACCCCTCGTGGCGGAAGTGTTCGTGGTCAACTATTCTCTTGATGGAGCGGACCTGGGCATCGGGGCCGGGGTTGGAACGCTGCGTGACGCCAATGTGCACCTTCAAATACTCAACTTTTACAAACCTGGGGGGGGCGGGGGGAGGGAAGACATAGAATGAGATTTCAGAGAATCACAGAATTGTAGAATTGGAAGGGACGTCGGGGGTCATCTAGGACAGCCCTTCTGCAATGCAGGAGTCACAGCTAAAGTATCCCTGACAGATGGCCATCCAACATCTACTAGAAACCTCCAATGAAGGAGAGTCCATCACTTTCTGAGAAAGTCTCTTCCGCTGTCAAACAGCTCTTACCATCAGGAAGTTTTTTCCTGACGTTTAGTTGGACTCTCCTTTCTTCCAATTTGAAAACATTGACTCAAGTCCTCCAGAGCAGCAGAAAACAAGCTTGCTCCGTTTTTCATGTGGCAGCCCTTCAGATATTGGAATACAACTATCCTATCACCTCTCAGTCTCCTCTTCTCCAGGCTAAACATACCCAGAGCCTTCAACCGTTCCTCATCAGGCTTAGTTTCCAGACCCTTGATCATCTTGGTTGCCCTCCTCTGCACACCTGCCAGCCTGTCAACATCCTTCTTAAATTGTGGTGCACAGAACTGGACACAGGATTCCAGGTGGGAACTGGACACTAGGCTTCTGTGGAAGTCTACATCACA